CACACACACACACACACACACACACACACACACACACACCTACAGACTTCAGCAAAGCAGCCCACAGCACCATCTGGTGGTCTAGGAGAAATTTCCCAGAGAATTCAAAGACTTGTCTGCAAATTTTTATAAGAACTTGTTTACAAATTTTTATAAAAACTATAGGAAGTTTCCCAAATTTAACCAGTGTTTAACCAATGAAAATTCTTTTTTTTTTTTTTTGCAATTATTGTGGAAACATTAAGCAACTTAATGCAAGATTTTAGTACTATCTGAAACCTAATCTTGCTTAGCAACAGTGTCTTCCAGACCTAGCAAACAACACTAACAGGCAACCTTGCATTTTGCTCTCACATCTTCAGACTCATCAATAACGCCTCCTATAGCGCCTATTTGTGTAGCAAGCAATACTAACAGGCAAATCTGCGTTTTTTTCTCATGTCTTCAGACTCAGCAACAACACCTCCTATACCGCCCACTTGTGTAGCAAGCATGCAACGCACTCTAAAAGCAACTGCAGCGCCTCCTACATGTTCAAGTACTAAATTTAGCAGAAACTCCTACTTTCTGCTCCCTGCACACAGCACCCCCTAGCAAAATAAAGGGAATTACACAGAAAACCACTAAATTTTCCAAAATTCACCTTTGTCAATTTGAAGTATGGCAACTTCTGCAGCCATGACAGATGTCCCTGAAGTACCAGAGGACTCAACCCCCCCCCCCCCCTTGATGGAGGGTGGTTCCCCAAACCCTCATTCGGACATCCAAACCTCCGAAGAAATGGCGATACCTCAGAAAGCCTACGACCTCAGACAACATAGGAAGCCTACCGCAGCCATGGACTTCTTATTGAGGGAGCAGTGGGTTAAGCAGTATCGTCATTATATAGAATCATGGACAGAACTGGAGAATATCTGCGAAACTCCCAAGCATAGGCTGTCCCTTGGGAGACTCTGAACATTGCAGGAAGAGCTACAGGACCTTCTCCCAAAGTGGAGAGACAGCGAAAGTCAACTCAAGACCATCCAGTCAAGGTTGGATGACCCAAACCTTGAAGAACACATTCAATGCTTCAAGGAAGTACACAAGGAACATGAAGAATACATTAG